AGATGCAATTTGTCTATTCTCCAAAAAGCAACGTGAATATGTTAATAAAGAAAAGAATTCAGAGGTTTTATTTTTATTTTTATTTTTCTTAAAGAATTCCAAAGTAAGCACCGTGGAAACAAACACTTGCTAAAATCTAAGTTGCTCTGACATGGCAGTTTAGGTGCCGCACCCGTGTCGACACGATACTAGTATGGGTATGGGTATGGGATCTGTATCGGATTTGATCAAACAATTTTGGGTACTTTAACCACGACAGACAGAAAAGTTCGAGACGAGATACAATTTGATTACCGAAATCAGAACTAAAACTAGGGTAAATTTGAAGAAAATAGCATATCTTATCTAGGAAATCAATCTTTTACTTATCTACAACTTGAGAATAAAAAGGAAATCCACACTTTACAAGCTATACTTAAGTATTCCACAAAATTTCTCATAAATTAGAGAGATTTTTATTTTTTTAATTATTTTTAGCCGGATCTCCGCACCCGTATCTGTACTAGGATCCATATCCCCGAATCTTAAAATTTACATCTTGAAAAATCCGACCTCTAGATCCGCACCCGTGTCCGAGCAACTTAGGCTAAAATACAAGGTAAGAATGCTACTAATAGACCTAAGAACCTTGCGCATAACGGGAGCTTAGTGCATCGGGTTGTCCTTTTTATTAAAAGATTAAATGAAGATTAGGATGAAAGAAACCATTCAACGCTCATCTGCTAAATTGATAATAACATCGAAACTAAAGGTATCTTTAGAAGTTCCCGTGTCTTTTTTCACACCAAAAGTGTAAATGCCTTCGGAGAGAATTGGAATAAGACAGTAGATGTTAGCACTTAGTATGGTCAGCCGAAGCCGCAGCAGTAGGTGCTACAGTCTAGTTTTTCATTTAAGCACTAGTTGTTCATGCCAAAGTTCTTGTTAACATAGTATTCCCTCCGTTTCATTGATTTGGTTTGATCTGCAAGGTTACTAAGAGTGAAATGATTGATGAGATTATTTTACTGATTTGATAGAAAGTGTATTAAATAATACTCTGAAATGTGAAAAGGTTTAAATCTATGTTTGAATGTATGATAGAAGTATTAGTTTGTACTACCGCATCCCATTTTGTATGACAGTATTTAACTTGACACGAAATGATATTGTTTTGATTTGTTGTATAGTTTTGTAATTAGATTAGACTTAGATGTAACATAGTAAGGTATTTACAATTGTGTCACATCGGATAAATATAACACATGTACATTTAGAAGTTTGAATATAAGATACTTGTCTTTAGGCATTTTTTCTCTTAATTCTCACATGGCATAAGATTTTAGGTGAGAAATAAATCCACATGCAAATTTTGGGCAGTTTCTACGTGACCTGATCACTAATGAACTATCGCTTCTGTTTTAAGTTATGTTGTCTTCCTGAAGTGCTACACTTAAACCAGTACAACCACTAAGACCAGAGAATATCCTTGTCTAAAATATCCCAAAACAATATGTTGCAGCGCTACATAAATAAATAAAAGTGACTCCTCTTTAACAGTTTAAGCATTAGATGAGCTATCACATATCTCAACCGTTTATGCAACATGCAATACTGTTTTTCTTCTAAGTTGGAGCTACTTAGTTTGCTTGTTTTCTCTTTTTCTTGCAGGATGTTGAAAAATACAAAGTAGGGAATCCTAGGACATTTCATTATCTGAACCAATCAAATTTTTTTGAACTAGCTGGAGTGGATGAGTCAGAGGAATACCTGGCAACGAGGCGGGCTATGGATATTGTTGGGATCAGTCATGATGAGCAGGTATTAGCATCATTAAATTCTTTGCATACATGGGCTACTTCATGAGAGTCTCTAGTTTTAATATTCAACTGCAGGATGCTATTTTTAGAGTAGTTGCTGCGATTCTTCACTTGGGAAACGTTGAATTTGCAAAGGGAACAGAAACTGATGCTTCAGAACCTAAGGATGATAAGTCTCGGTTCCATCTTAAGATTGCAGCTGAACTATTCATGTAAGTGGTTTCTTCTATTTATGGTCTCCAGATGCCCTCGTGCTTTTCAGTAAAAAATATCATTTTGCTGAAATCTTGTTTAGGTGTGATGAGAAGTCTCTTGAGGACTCCATGTGCAAACGTGTCATGGTAACTCGTGATGAGACCATTACAAAGTCCCTCGATCCACAAGCTGCAGCTGTCAGTAGAGATGCTTTAGCCAAGATAGTTTACTCAAGATTGTTTGATTGGTTAGTTGAGTACCAGGTGATTAAATTTTATTGCTTGTTCATTTGTATCAAAGGTAATTGACCCAACACAAATGTTGTTTTGTTGTTCAGGATAGTGAACAAGATCAATAATTCTATTGGCCAAGATCCTGATTCAACTTTCTCAATTGGTGTTCTAGATATCTATGGATTTGAGAGTTTCAAGACAAACAGGTGCTTAACCGGTATGCTTTTGTTTTCATCATTCAAGTGGTTAAGTTCTTGCAGAATGCTGGATGAAAGTTCTGTTCTGCCAATTTGGATTTTTGGATTCTCTCTGATCTAACTTGACCATAATTTTATTTCTGTCAACATCTGCCTCCTTTTATTGAATTATTGTGGATATGGTTTACTGTTCCTGCTTTATTTAAAGCTTCCTATACACTAGGGGTGTCAAATGGGCGGGTTGGGCTATTTTAGGCGGGTAAAAATGGGCTGAGTTAATAAATGTGTGGGTAGCTCAACCCGCCCAACTCTTACCAAGTTTTAATTAATGTGTGTTGTTTTCTTATGAATTGTTTAATATCAAATAAGATTTTTTTCTTTTGTTATGGTCGTATATAACATATCAAACAAAAAAGAATTATTTTAAAGATATTTTAGCAAAGTTACTCATGGTCTCATGGATCAATTTGGGCTAAAAATCAACCAAACTTTAGATGGCCGAGATGGACTGGGTCAAGATGGGCTGAGTTCAACAAATGGGCGGGTCAATGACCGGTCCAACCTTGGGTGGGTTGGGCGGGTTAAATGGGTTTGGGCTACCACCCCTACTATACACACATTCTGCTTCTTAAAGCACTTTTGGTGTTGAGTTCACATTTAGATGAATAGCCTTGTTTGTTTTCCTGCTAGTTTCTTTAATTTAATTTGTTTATGCTCTCTCCTTTGTTATGATTATTGATTTCTTCTATGCAGTTTTGAGCAATTTTGCATTAATTTGACCAATGAAAAACTGCAGCAACATTTCAACCAGGTTTGTGTGGTTATTCATTTGATAGTCTCATAGCTCGGACATGTTTATGTAAAAACTAAAAAACCTTTTATTTCCCTTTGCCAGCATGTTTTCAAGATGGAGCAAGAAGAGTATACCAAAGAGGAAATTGACTGGAGTTACATAGAGTTCATTGATAACCAAGACATTCTTGATCTTATAGAAAAGGTAATGTAGATCATGAATATATTTTATCACAATCTTTTTACTTTTGATGACTGCCTACAAAATGCATAGAGATAGATTTATAGGCAAAAAATGGGCAAGACCATATGCAAGTATATAAAGATAAGGAGTTACATAAAAGCACATCTTTCTACCAAGTATACTAAATCATCAGTGCATGTCGAATTATCTTATGTATCTTACTGTTTGTTTCACTTCTTTCCTCCACAGATATGCTGATATAAAAGGAAAACAAAATATGTCCTCATCAGATCTTTCTGTTATGTCATAAATTTTAAACTTTATTGATATGGTTCCATTTTACCATGTTTATGTTCTGAATACTTCGTTTCCTTCAGAAACCTGGCGGGATCATTGCTCTTCTTGATGAGGCTTGGTAAGTAGACATTTCAAATCTTTAATTTACTCTAATTTTCCCTTCTTTTGGTATAATTACCAAAAATAGCCACAAAACTCATTGGTTGTTGTTTTGACTACTCTTTGTGGCTCATTTTTGCCAGTATGTTCCCAAGATCAACATATGAAACCTTCGCAGAAAAGCTATATCAGACTTTTAAAGATCATAAGCGGTTCAGCAAGCCAAAGTTGTCCCGGACTGATTTTACTATTTGCCACTATGCTGGTGATGTATGTAGGAAAAGTAGTTCTTAAAGATATCTATGTACATTACAAGAGTGAGGGTTGTGTAATTTTTGCTAAGAAAAGCAAGTGTTGCTCAATCTTGTTTTTACTTCTTTCGTGTCAGGTCACTTACCAAACTGAGTTCTTTTTGGATAAGAACAAGGATTATGTAGTTCCAGAGCACCAAGCAACGCTTACTGCTTCAAGGTGCCACTTTGTCTCTGGCTTGTTTCCACCTTTACCTGAAGAATCTTCTAAACAGACCAAGTTCTCCTCTATTGGCGCTCGATTTAAAGTATATTTTCTTCTTTCCTTTGATCGACCTGTTTTTATCTCATTGTTTCATGCTTCTGAAATATATTACCCTGTACCTGGTATAGCAACAATTGCAAGCATTGCTTGAGACACTTAATGCCACAGAGCCTCATTATGTTCGTTGTGTGAAGCCAAATAATCTTTTGAAGCCAGAAATATTTGAGAATCAAAATGTACTCCAGCAGCTTCGTTGTGGGGTAAGCTTTAATAACCTCCTCTGACTATTATAAACTAAATTGTCTTTGCAAGCTTGGGTATTTCACACCAAATTTTTATAGGGAGTTCTGGAGGCTATTCGGATCAGTTGTGCTGGCTATCCTACTCGGAAACCGTTTGATGAATTCTTAAGCCGGTTTAAGGTCCTTGCTCCTGAGGTTTTAAATGGAAGGTACTATTCGCATTAACACAATTCAAAGAGTTTTCGAGGTTTCTATCCATTTTCTTCTTTGGTCTGTCAACATTTAGTTTTTTTTTTTGTCGCCACACATTCTTTCTCACTTGGTAGTATTCTCATTGATAGTATTGACGAGGTCGCCGCTTGCGGGAGACTTTTAGAGAAGGCTGGCCTCAAAGGTTATCAGGTACCGGTCGTCGTTTTTCTGGTAGTGGTTAATCATAAGGGGTATAATCATTAAGATTATCTATTAAAGAGAAAAATGTTCTGTTCTGTGTGCTGAATTACATCGGCAGCTATATAGGTGCATTTATATCCACAGATAAGGTTTTAGCCCTCACAAAATTCCTAACAGCGATGGAATGCTGTGACTAATTGTCATTGCTATCATCATTTAAAAGGGCAGCGTGTAAAACTCTGATGGAAGAAGAGTGAACTGAAATTTCTCTGTTGGTTTTCTTTAGGGAAGGAATTACAAACATATTACCTACTTCAAATAATATATTCTCTCCCTATTCTAGAAACAAATCAAATCAGGTTTCGTACTCTAGAAAAGCTGACAAATCTAGAATTCTGGAATCCTTGAGATCCTTTCCCAGAATATTAACACTCCTCGAGCTAGGTTGTAGATATTGATTAAGACAAGCTTGGAACTTGTAGGGAAGTAAGGAAGTAAAGAAGTTCCATTTGTCCTTTTTCTATTTTTTATTCAAGTGGCGATCTATTTCAACATGTTTGTAGCAGCAAGAAATCAATGAGTAAAATATCTCCCAATTCTCTTTTCCTTTAGGAAATAAATTACCTGCCCACAATATTATATAATCTATCTAATCTAGAAAACAATAAAATCCGGATTCCTAGTCTAGAAACAGTGTACTAATCCAGAATTGTGGAATCTTTGAGATCCTTTCATAGAATAAGGACAGTTCAAAATCATGCTTTATTCCTTTCGCTCCGAAAATGCCGTGCCTTTTTCTCTCTTTAATTGAAGTATTTGGTCATTTTGATGCTGCAATTTAGTTGAGGAGCACTGTTGAGAATCTTGTGGGAAACCTGTAAACTAGGTTTTCTATTTTCCTTTTGCATCAGATTTTTTAATGTATTTACATCGTTCAAACTTGTATCAGCTGGTTGTATGATTCTTTTTGTTGAAGCCCATAAAATTTAAACTTGCCGGTTGATGCATTCTATCTGATGTTACATAATTGCAGGTTGGTAAAACAAAAGTGTTTCTTAGAGCCGGTCAAATGGCAGAATTAGACACCCGCCGAAATGAGGTCCTTGGCAGATCTGCTAGCATAATCCAGGCAAAAGCTCGCACATATTTCGCTCGCAAAACTTTTTTGTTGTTACGGGTTTCAGCAATCCAAGTCCAAGCTGTTTGTAGGGGTACGATAACCTGTTTAACTTTTATATATAATTTGTATGACCATGCCCCGACAAAAAGCTAGAAACCGCTGTGAATATGTACCTGGATCCTGTACACGCCGTCCATCACACCGTGTGAATTGATTTCTCTAAATTCAATAATGCTTCTAATGTTTTACTTATGCAATAAGAGAAAAAAATGCTTGATAACTGTTTTATGATACCTTATGCAGGCCAACTTGCACGGGCTATCTACGAGTGCATGAGGAGAGAAGCTGCCTCTCTGAGGATCCAAAAAGATGCACGCAAGTACCTTGCACGGAAATCTTATGGATTGCTGTGCTCTTCAGCTGTTTCAATTCAAGCAGGATTGCGTGGCATGGCTGCTCGAAATGAGCTTCAATTCAGAAAGCGAACAAATGCAGCTATCTTTATCCAGGTAAAGAGGGATTTTCTACTGGCTTTTCTGAATTTCACATGCCATTTTAGCGTCAATTTCTTATCCTTCTGGATCAGCATAATGATAATTTAGAACTCAAGTAACTAATCCATTTTACATGCTTTGACTGACATATAGCTTCGATGTAATTTTTCTTTCTTTGATTATGTTGGTTATAGAGTGATTGGCGGAGATACTTGAAACGCCTACATTATAGGAGGATGAAGAAAGCAGCAATTGTGTTACAATGTGCCTGGAGAGCTAAAATGGCCCGCAGAGAATTACGAAAGCTAAAGATGGTAAGAACTCACTCTGTTCGCCTTTACCGCTCACAAGATTTTGGGTACGACATGCTAGTTTGTTGTGTCCCTTGATCTGTGTAAACTGTATGTGTCATTATTCTCCCAGTTTTCTGTTACGATAGAATAACAACTAGTTCTGAATCA